CCCGCCCTCTGACCCCCCGCTTTCTGCCCTAGATCATCGAGAAGCGCCGCCGCGATCGCATCAACAACAGCCTGTCGGAGCTGAGGAGGCTGGTGCCCAGCGCCTTTGAGAAGCAGGTAGCGCCCAGTGACCCTCCGCACTGCCTCCCCCCTGTTCCCGGGAGGAAGGGTCGCCCCTCTTTAATGTCTCTGGTTCTCTGCCTAAAAAGTTCCGTGTTTCCCCATCTCTCCTAGGGATCGGCCAAGCTGGAAAAAGCAGAGATTCTGCAGATGACTGTCGACCATCTGAAAATGCTGCATACGGCGGGAGGAAAAGGTAAAGTTTTGTGCCTGACAGTGGGTCAGAAGCTCTGCAGAGAGGCTGCTGTGAGAGGGGTGCATTCCCTAGCACAGTGTGCTGTGGGAGTGCTTGGAGAAAGTGAATGGAAACTCTTTTATGTTTCGACAGGAATTTGGGACTTTCTTCTACTTGACAGGATTTGCGGCATTGCTATCACTGAGACATTTTACAGTGCTAGCTCCAGGTTGTTTTAGGGGAGAGCAATTACAAGCCTCTAGCAATGTGTCAGCACTGTGGAGTGAATTGTTTTGGCAACTTGGAAAACACAAAATTTTTGTTGTTTTCATATGTTTGTTTCTCTAACTTTCTGAAAGTTCAGAACAGAAACTAGAAGAAAATGCAGAATGAAATAAGTAGTGACGAGAATTAGCAAAAATGGTGAGATGTACTTTTTTCCTAAAAGTGCATTTCCTGCAGAAGTCCCCTCTGATAAGTTTGGGCGTGTGTTTCTAATGAATTTCACTGCACTAGGGTTTTGCTTGCACTGGGGAGACATGAAAAGGACAAAAGTACTTCCCTCCAGTGGCAGTATGCAATTTCAGTTTAAAAATGGCAATCTGTGACTGGTCTTGGGACTTGCAGCATCACAGCACAGATACAAGAGAAAAGCTTGATAGACAAAAAAAGAAAAGAAAAAAGCAGCTTGGCAATTAATCTGTGATTGGGAATACTAACCACATCCAAGTGAAATATGCTTATAGGGGAGGGTGGAGTGGGGAGGCTACATGTAGACAATGACTAGAAAACAGCATCTTAAGACTCTGTTCTTTGTTCTTTTCTCTTAGGTTATTTTGATGCTCATGCTTTGGCTATGGACTATCGGAGTCTAGGGTTTCGAGAGTGCCTGGCTGAAGTTGCTCGATACCTTAGTATTATAGAGGGTCTGGACGCCTCTGATCCTCTGCGAGTTCGACTTGTGTCTCATCTCAATAACTACGCCTCTCAACGGGAAGCAGCAAGTAGTGCACACACTGGCATTGGACACATTCCTTGGGGCAGTGCCTTTGGACATCACCCTCACATATCTCACCCCTTGCTGCTGGCTCAAAATGGGCACGGTAATACCAGTACTACAGCATCTTCCACAGAACCACATCACCAGACCAGAATTGCCGCCCCACATGCTGAAGCTTCCTCACTCAGAGTGCCCCCAAATGGCAGCGTTGGACCAGTGCTCCCCGTGGTCACATCTACTACCAAACTGTCTCCTCCTCTTCTCTCCTCCATGGCATCTCTGTCTGCGTTCCCCTTTTCGTTTGGCTCCTTCCATCTGCTGTCCCCCAACGTGCTGAGCCCATCTGCACCAACACAGTCAGCAGCCCTTGGCAAACCATACAGACCCTGGGGGACTGAGATTGGAGCCTTCTAAGAACTAACTCTTTAGTAAGGGTGGGGAAGCCTACCAACCTAGCTGAGCTGGGTTATGCCACGCTTAAAATTGAAGTTCTTAATAACTGGGACAAAGGTACAGCTTCACCTTAACTAAGTTTGTCTAAAAACTGTCTCTTTGGAGTTTTCTTTTTGTTTTCTACATTTTTGTATTAGTAATTTTTTTTTTTTAAATAGTTACTGAAGTTGTCCAAAAATAAAATTACAATAGTGGTTGTTAACACTTGTGCTAGATCTGTGCTGAGCATTTAAATCACTTTTGTGAACAGTTTGTTTCAAATGTTTCCTTTTTCCTGAGTACATCAGACTGCCTTTTTATGAAGAGATATCACCTATTATTGTTAGCAGTGGCCTAGTTTAGTTATTAATTTTTCCAAGACCACTCTTCTCAGCATTAACAAGCTGTGTTTTTATTAGTATTCTGACACTGAGATGTTCTATAAAGAATTACTCTTTTTGTAAACTATATTTGAGTCTTACATTTCTGAACAAAGCGTGGACAAATCAGATGGACCAGCTTGACCAGCTTTATCTAAGAGCCCAATTTCTATTTCTTCAGCAGTGGTGTGGTATATTTGGTGGTCTTATTCTAGTCTCTAGTGGACATTTACTCACATCACAGAACTGCTACACTATTTCTTCCACCAAAAGGAGCACTACTTGCTTTAGAGCAAACTCTAAAGTGCGGGGAGGGTGCAAAAGCCAAATTACACACTATTGGTGACGGGTTTAGTTGCTGGGGAAGTGAAGGGGAAAAAAAAAGTTGTCACCTGCAGTAGTCTTCCAGCTGGAGCCAGTCATATGCATATTCCTTTCATGGGGCCAGATTCTGCTTTGAGTTACAGTGGGGTAATTGTTCTATTACCCGTATTC